ATGCAGCCTCCACATTTAAATATTCATAAGCAACAATATATTATATTTTTGTTTTTTTGGTTTAGATATGCTTTAAACAAACTGTCCTGCATTTACCCTTTACATTACTTTTAGGATTTTTTACTTTTATACTTCTAAACTGCATTTAAGCTAACACATATTTAATCTACCCCTTTTACAAACAAATATTTAAAAGAAGGTGCAACCATTCTACAGGTGTCACAAAAAACTATAGGCTATATTCTCATTGGGACTCCTAAATACAAGACTTTCTAGACTTTCAGACATTTCAGGTGTCATGTCGTTTTTGTAAAGGATTTTTTTTGATGATTTTGACTTCCTTTATCTATAAAATATACACCACATACACCATACAGCATATACATCAAATATACACCATATACACCTGTTACAGTGACATGTAAGCATTACAATGAACACAACCATAATAAAATTATTTCCTCGTAAAATACCATTGAATGAGAGAAGTTCATGGGCCTAGCAGTGATTGCTTTCTATGCTAGCCCTGCTGATAAATCACTGTGACTAAATATTACATAACAAAATTAAATATTAACTTAAAGTTTCCTTCTATATCATTTTATAATACGTGGCAAGCAATATTTATGAAGAAACAGAAGTCTGTGTAGAATTAGAAATTTGAACTTTCATGAACTTTTCTCTTCCTACCTTTTTATATGCAATCCAGTCAAACACTCGATCTATATCTGTGGCCTTTAGCACTTCCTGAGAAACTGGATGTGAACTGGCCAACCCATCCAGCAGCATCACCTCATGTAAGACATCTGTCAGAAACCGTTGCTTTTCCTGAAAAAGTTACAAATTGCATTCACTTTAACACTGAAATGACAGCTTTTGTCAATATGTTTCTGTAAGATGTTTCTGCTACAAATCCTTATGAGCACACCTACTACTTAAAGTGTATAATTCGGGTATTTTTCTTTCTACACTTTATGTCCTAGGGACAAAACAGGAAATGAGCAGGAATCTTTCATCTTTCAGGAATCTATTATTTTATATTACAGATGAATGGGATGGCTCAACTAAAGCTGGTACCAACATGCTAATTGTATTTTATTACTAAACTATGTAAATTACTTTCATAGTTCTGAATAGTCACACAACAATGTAAGCTGTTAAAAATACATCAATATTTAAAAGCATATCAAGAACCATAACATTGGTAGACATAATAGCCGTGTGGTGTGTATAATACAAAAACAACCTCCTATGGTTCAGTAGTCCCTCTCAACAGCAGAATTACAACCATGTATAATAACTCTGATTGTACATAATGATTAAAACCTCAAATAGGTGGGTGGAACTATTTTTCATGTAGTGTTAGACTGGGTGATATTATGATGTATGATTGTGATGAAAAGAGAAATCATGATGTGGTGTGATTTTAGATTCTTGTTCACGGTATGTTTGCACCATTTCAGTAATGCTTCTATCTCCTAAAGAAGTGGCTGCACAGTCTACAAAATAAATCGAGTGAAAAACAGCTACACCCACCTGATCATATGTACAATCAGAGTTATTATGACATATATGTTTATAATTGTGATGATGGGTGGACTATAGGAGCTTCTTTGTACTTTACACACTACATGACTGTTATGTCTACTAATTTCATGTTTTTTTCTAAATTGATACACTAATAAATATTGATTAATACTTAACAAATAAAATGTTTGTATGGCACATGTCTGGTACCTTTAAAGTCCCTTCAATTTGCACAGTTTAGTTTAACCAAAGAAAAAAAAAAAGATGTGGCTATGCAAACACAATTATCCTGTATAGATAGATAGATAGATAGATAGATAGATAGATAGATAGATAGATAGATAGATAGACACAGGGAAGAAAAACTTAAAACGAAATATATTTTTAATGAAATTCTTCATTTTGCATGTGTTCCACACTTATTTTTAAGTAATTTTCCACACTTATTTTTACTTATCAGGAGACGTGTTGTGAAAATCTTAACAGCATCTGATGCCTAAGATTGTCAATTGAAATGGGGGGGCAGTTGATCATGCAGACTTCAACCTCCCCCTGGAATCTCTGGTAACCAGTGCCGCTGTAAACATAGTTATCTGAGTCTGCCAAGCATTAATAATAAAATCAATGCAGAGTGGAGATACAAGAGCAACCAAAACAGGTTTAAGAGCAGTTAACATGCAAGCATCTGCCTTCAGACAGATATTAAATTATCTCACTAAGAAAGAAAATCCAGACAGCTGTCAATCTCATGTCTGTTAGAAACTTAGGTTGAGCTCATACCCCTCTCTTCCAAGCTTTCAGTTTAAAGTATCTTATAATGTAATTTTTTAATGAAAAGTGGCAGATCATCACAGTTAGGTGCTGTTAGTAAACGCAAACCAGTTTTCAAACCAACCTTCCATAAAAATCTAAATACATAATTTTAGATGGTGTATTATATATGAAATAAAAGTCCTACAGTAAGTAAAGTGGTAGTGTGTACAAGGAAAGATAATAATACACAATGTTACTACTACATATGTACACAGGCTTATTTGAAAAACAAAAACAAAACACCAACTAGTAAAGTAGGTAATGATCTCAACACATGCTAAGTTACTTCATCATATGTTTATGTGTATCTATCTATCTATATATCGATAGATATTTATCTATATATAGTATATATATATATATACATACACACATACATAGCCATTGATTAATTTAGAAGATGGAGAATCCAAGAGCTAGCCCATTAAGTGTTTGCACAGTACAATGTGCATTATGTTTAGACTACTAGACAGTTTCTAAAGAACATCCAAAGGACACTAACCACTAGATGAGAAAATGCAATACATACAAGTGCCCCAGTGATATCAGTTTCTTTTCATTTCCATTCCAAATCCTGCATGTCTATTGTGAAAGTTACCACTACTTTTGGTTGCTTTTTTATGCTTTTATCAGCTGTGTGCAAACATGAAATGAGCATTTCTTTAGTAAATAGACAGATTTTACTGCACATAACAATGAGAAAGCTGTACAACATTGGCAATTCAGCTTTCTTATTTTGTGAAGTGTACACAACCTTAAAGGAGAACTATGGGGTTAAGGCTTTTCCCCATAGTTCTCCTTAGGGTAACGGGAGGACACAAACTAGCGTCCTCCCGTCACCCTAAGCTCAGTATACCGAGACGCCGCAGCTGAAGCGGATCCCGACAATTATGCCGGGATCCGCCCAGCTGCGTGAGTGACAGCTGGCTCTGCCTATCTAGAGGCAGAGCCAGCTGTACCCGCCCCCTCCCCTGTCCGATCCACCAGTCAGCGCTGGCCGATCGGAGGGGGGAATCCAGCCCCTCCCCTGTCACGGTCAATAAAAACACAGAATTTTATAAACTGAGGTGAATATTTGTAAAAATCAAAGGTTCACTGGGCTTGCTAATGTTCAGTAAATTACCTATAAATTATATGGCTTAAAAAAAGTAATGAACCGTATAGGCATAATTAAAGTGAACCTTTCATGAAAACAAAAAATAAATATTGTTACCTATAAATAAATAAATAACCCTTGTGGAAATTGTGTCAATATTTGCTGTTAAATGATTGTGGTGCCAAACCCAATCAACTGTTTTTGTCTATAAGGTAGACAAGGAGTAACTCTCATGAGATTCTGATTCGCTTGTCAGGTGATTGACAATGTTTATTATTCAACCAGATAAATTGTAAAGGGAAGGACTCACCTTTGTGTTTATATGCTTAGCACAGTAGTTTACACAGAGCAAATATCAGGGCAAAAGCAGAAACAGAAGACAGCTGAAAGGAAGGTGCTTGAGAAGCCTCATTCAGTCAGACAAACCAAGCCTCAAGGTGGCAACTTCTGCTGTTGCCAACATATAGTGGTTTAAAAAGCCTTTGCCATGTATTAAATGTTTATTTGTAAAGCAAATATTGTGTGCATACATTAAAGATTAACACACATGAAGAATTGTAATCTTGTTGTCAAAAATCAGAAGTGCCATTGTCATTATTGGATAAATATCAAGACAGGGCTCGCTCTTGTTCTTGAGGTGATAAAAGCCCATATAAGATTAGCTTTATGCAATGTATTCATTATGAAATGTAATATTTATTTTATACACTTCAAAATTTTACAATTTTTCTTTCCTGCCTATGTTCTGCTACCTATTGTGTTGTGGCATCTGTCTAACAAAACACATATGTTATGCAGCTGTAACATGTGTGTTGTAGTATGCTAAAGACCAGGGTTCTTTAAAGTCTGAAGTGGTGCAATGATTTTGCAGTGTCCGGCAGGCACCACTGACACTAAGGGGCTAACTTTGAACATGTTCACCCAGCACGTAGCTGGGCAAACATAATTTCCAGTGTGATACTGTCACTAGATGGAGCCCTGGTTAGTTATGCAAAAGTCAGCACTCCCAACCTTTGTGGGCAAGCTGTTTGTGAGTTAGGAACCCTGGCAAACCCCTCGCTGTGTATTTAGGCAAGAGTCTCACCTTCTGCAAAGCCATATTAAAGCTTACTTGGACCCATGGAAAAAAAAAATTCACACAAGACAACAAATCTCAAAATAAAGAGAAACATGATTGTTTAGCATGATAGATGAGATGAAAACAATATAATGCTTTTTTTCCTTTTCACTCAACTGCACAGATTTACATAACAAATTGTCTTGTTTTTCTCTATTTCACTCACTCCAATAGTCCAAGGGACAGTTGCCTGGCCTTTTGTTTAAAGACACTGAGGACCCCTAAATGTAAATTGCGCCCAAAATCCACAAATATACTTTGTACTTTGCCAATTAGAAAATGAAGTATTATTTATAGTTAAAGTAAATGGCTACTAAATGTAATGTTATATTTAAAAATTATACTAAACCAAGTTTCATGAGCACACATTGTTAAATGACATTCAAAAGCTCTCCACAATTATACAGTTATATTTTATTCATAATTGGAACAATTACAATGTAATTCAAGATTTGTTCTCTGGAAAGATGAACAAGAGTAATATTTAAACTTTGGTAAATTAGGCAGGTTAACCTGGGATATGTGCTGATGATATGACATCTAATAATGAATTGCTATATCTTTTCTACTAAATTCTAATTATAAATAATTTATAAATCTAAAAAGGAAAAAGTTATAAACCAGATAAAAAAATCAATCTGTATAGAAAACTGCATTGACACAGAAGTTCAGATGTTCATTTACTCAAGGTTGTATAGCATAATTTATACTTATCTTTGTCTATTACATTTGTTCTATCATACATGGTAATTTTATTCTGAATAATACTTGGTATATTAAGGTTAAACTAGCTGTTAAACATTTACATATATGTTGTTACTATTGTTAATGAAACTGTGAAAAATAATTAATGTAAACATTATAGATAATGTAGCATATGATTAACACATAGCATTTATATTCTTTCAGTGCACGTGGCTATAAAGTACATAGGGTTGTATGTATTCCAGTTGCATTAGTAAAGCTTGCTGAAATCTGGAGGTCTGCCTTGAGGGACCCCAATCTACTCATACTAAGCTGAAGCCTGTATAGACATCATGGATGTATGGCAGGTGAAGTGTTTTATATCTTATAGCCAGTGGATAAGAGGGAACTGTGCATACAAATTGTGGATGTCTACCGCACTTAATTGATGTGAACGACTATTCTAAATATTGTTTGAAGGTGCTAGCATGGCAGGTCATAAATGTTATTGTTGCCTATTGTTGATACACAAAGTAAATTGAAAACTAAAGAAAATAAATATTTCCAAATGTTATTCAAATATGTCTGCTA